GCTGCTGCTGCTGCTGCTGCTGCTGCAGCAGGGGCCCCCAAGGGGGCCCCTAGAGGCAGAGGCAGAGAGGGGCAGCAACTGATACCTATGGGGGGACTCCGGGGTTCGTCCTGCTGCTGCTGCTGTTTTGCTGCTGCTGCTGTATGTGTGTGCTCTTTTGCTGCTGCTGCTGCTACTGTGCGTGCTGTTCTGCTGCTGCTGCTGCTGTTCTGCTGCTGCAGCGGCCGGCGCCAGTCGGGTCTTCCGAGCAGCTCGAAGCTGCTGCTGCTCACCTTGACGCATTGCTGATGTCTTTTAATTTAATTAATTCATATTAAATTAATTTAATTAATTTAATCGAACTAAATTAAACTAATTAAATTAAATTCTACTTTTTGCTGCAGACATGGTGGACCTGGCCGAGGGCTTCGACCGCCTGTGTCTGTACACTGACGACCCGCAGCAGCTGCTGCAGCAGCTGCAGGGGCCCAACACCAGCACTGTCACTGTTATATCGCAGCAGCAGCAGCAGCAGCAGCAGCAGCAACAGCAGCAGCAGCAGCAGCGCACAGTGGACTGTCTGCCGCTGCTCTACACTCCTCTCAGACGCTTCTGAGCTGCCGCGGCAAACTGCAGCGGCAGCTTCAGCAGCAGCAGCTGCTGCTGCAGCAGCAGCTGTTGCTGCAGCAACTCGGGACAAAACGTTAAATTTGGTCTTTGGTTTTGCGTTAAGAGATAAATGCGAAGTGCCCCTTTGGTGCTTCTTTGCTTCTGCCTGTCTCAAGACAAGCCGAGGCCCCAGAGTTCGTGACTGCTGCTGCTGCTGCCGCTGCTGCTGCTGCTGCTGCTGCTGCTTCAGGGGCGCCTGTGGGTGTAGGCCTTGTGGGTGCAGAGGCCCGTGTGCTGCAGCTGCTGCTGCAGCAGCGCGTCGGCCTGCTGCACTTCAGTCCAAAGTTCAGCAACATCAACAGCAAGACTGAGGCCCCTAATTGCTTCTCGCAGGTGTCCCCAGAGAGCAGCAGCAGCACAAAGGTCCTGCAGCGGCGCTGCAGCAGCAGGAAAAGCAGCAGCAACTGCCCCCTCAAACGCAGCAAGACCCGGGGGGCCCCCGTAGTGCAGCAAAAACCGAAACACTAAACCCAAGGAGCAGCCACTAGCAGCAAAAGAAGGCAAGAAAGATCCAAACGCTGCGTCTCCTGGCCGCGGCAGCACCTTCGCCTGCAGCAGCAGCAGCAGCAGCACAGGGAGCCGTGCAGCAGCGGCAGCGGGAGCAGCACGGGGAGCCGTGCAGCAGCAGCAGCAGCGGGAGCAGCGGCAGCAGCACTAATCCGCAGCAACGTCCCTAGCTAGAGTTCCAGCAGCAGCGCCCGCTGCAGCAACGAGCGCTGCAGCAGCAACCCCAGCAGCGGCAGCAGCAGCAGCAGCAGCCGCAGCAGCGGGCGCTCACTAGGTGCGGGCTCTGCAGCAGCATGCTGACGAGGGCAGTCTGCGTGAGTTCTTGAAAAGCATTTCGAATTAAATTAACAAGACAATTAAATCCCAAAAGATCCATGCAAACAGCAGCAAGCCAAGGTTGCTGCTGCCGCAGCTGCAGCGGCAGCAACGAGGCCACGCGCTGCAGCAGCAGCCCCGCGCGCTGCACGTCTCGCGCGCCGGCCGCTGCTGCTGCGCCGCCCCCCGCTGCTGCTGCTGCTGCTGCTGCGCCCCCTGCTGCAGCAGCAGCAGCAGCAGCTTCGCTCGGATATGGCTGCATCAGAGCTGTCTGTACACCCGGAGGGAATGGACGCCCCGGCAAACTCTCAAGAGGATCTCCGCTCAGAAATCCCAGACGCAGCAGCTCCAGACAAATAAACATTGCCTCCTGCAGCAGTAGCAGCAGCAGCAGCAGCGGGAGTGGCGGCGGTTCGGGGCCGCGGGGAGGCGAACGCGCAGCAGCAGCAGCAGCAGCTGCTGCTGCTAAGCCGCAGCAGAAGCGCCACGAGCATGAAAGGGAAATTAATTCATGAATAAATGTGTTCAATTAGAGTACTTTTATTAGTCATAAATAAAAGATATAAATTAAATGAAATATTGTACAGCAAATATCAAAAAGGAGTGCAGCAGCTGCTGCAGCAGCAGCAATTTGAATTGATTTAAATTAAGAATAACAATCAATTCCCCAATTTAATTCAAAATTAATTCTTAAGTTTAAATTAATTTAAATTAATTTAAATTAATCTAAATAATTCATTTTCCTGTATACAGCCTGCCACGGGAACTGCAGTCAAAACCCAGCAGCAGCAGCAGCAGCAGCAGCAGCAGCAGCAGCAAAGGCGAATCCAGCGAGCAGCAAGCGCCCAGCGCACAAAGCTGCTGAACAACTTAACAAATAAAAGGGAACTACTGAAATAAATTCAATCTAATTAATTTAATTTTATTAATTTAATTTTATTAATTTAATTAATTAATTAAACAAACCTGAAACTCAAAAGGCACAGAAGCAAGAGCTGAGCCAAAGACAGTGCTGCCGCCGCTTTCGCTGAAGAGTCCAGCAGCATCAAGCAGCTGCAGCAGCACAGCAGCTTGCAGGGCTTTGCGTTCATTCTGCAGATCTGCTGCTGCTGCTGCTGCTGCGGGGGGGGGCGCGTCGGCGGCGCCGCAGAGCTGCTGCTTCTGCTGCTCCGAAGCAGCAGCAAACCACTCCAGACAGAACTTGAGGCTCACGGTGTCTTGCTGCTGCCGCTGCAGCTCAGCAGCAACAGCAGCAGCAGACACTGCCCAGGATCGCCGCAGGCTGCTGCTGCTGCTGCAGGGCGCCAAACAAACTGCTGCTGCTGCTGCTTCTCCTGCTGCTCCCCCGCTGCAGCGCACGAAGGCCACCGGCCGCGTCTGGAAGGTCACATGCAGGTGCTTCGCTATCAGCCCTGAGCAGCAGCAGCAGCAGCAGCAGCAGCAGCAAATTGCAAGTTCGAAAACAAACCACAAGCCAAAGCAGCAATCTGCACAGCAGGTAAGTGCCCTGTGCAGCAGCAAGAACAACAGCAGCCGCAGCAGCAGCATTGCAAGCCCCAGCAGCAGCAGCACCGTTGCTAGCAACAGCAGCAACACCAGGATCAGCAGCAGCAGCAGCAGAACCAAAGCAGCAACAGCAGCACCGGCTGCCTCCGCATCACCAGCAGCAGCAG